TAAGCAACAGGCTCTCCCCCACCCCTATGAGTGAATGCTTACACGCCTGACTCTCTCTCCCCTGAATACATTTCCCTGGTTGCGTGAGGAGCTCACCAGTTCGTGACGCACGTGGGGTTACGTGTACAGCGCGTGTATGCCCACTGGCACACTTGCGTGTTGGCACCTCTGGCAGTTGCCACCCTTGCCAGTTGGCCCTCTTGCGCATTCCCTCTAGTACACACTTTTACACGTGCACGTCGCCACCGTCCCACTGGCGAGTAGCTACTTCGGATTGAAGGCACCCCCGACAGGAGCGTTTCCCCTTCCGTGCGGTCAACGCAGACAAGGGAGCACTCACCCCCCGTTAGAGTTGGTTCCTCGGGGGAGATTCTCACCGCGACCCGCAGCACGCCATCTGCTACAGGCCACCCGCTAACCGCTAACCTGTCCGTTCTCCTCAAATGCAGTTATGGCTGCTTATAACCTGTATCGTCGTGTGTGGGATTCTGAGTGGCCTGTTCTCAGGTGAGTTGTCGGGCCCTGAGGCGGGTTACCAGGCCGATCATCTCGCGGCCTATCTCGTCGCGTATCTCCCCATCTCGCCGCGTATCTCCTCATCTCACCGCGTATCTCCTCATCTCACCGCGTATCTCCTCATCTCGCCGCGTATCTCCTCATCTCGCCGCTTATCCCGCCAGGCCTCTCCCTCGGAATAATGATGCTAGATACGCTTCAGCTGAACCTGCTTATCCTCGTGTCCGAAAAAGACAAGAAGGAGCTCAACAACGCCAAAAACGCCAGGAAGATCCTCCCACTACGTAACAACACAAATGAGATCCTCGTGACATTCATCGCAGCCAATGTTATGGTGAATTCTGCCTTCAGCTTGCTCCTCAGTGAGCTGACGGACGGTATTACATCGTTCATCATTTCGACAGTGATCATTACAATTTTCGGGGAAATAATTCCGCAGTCCATTTGCTCTAAGCACGGGCTGGCCATCGGGGGCTTCTTCGCTCCTCTCATTCACTGCCTCAAGTTTTGCCTCTTTATCTTTGCCAAACCGACGAGCCTCATCTTGGACCACTTCGTGGGTACGCGCAGAGGGAGAGGAAATGGAAGGAATGAAAAGGAACATTGAGGAAGCGAGAGGCTCATCCACTTCCATACCCACTTCTACACCCACTTCTACAATCACTTCTTCCCCCCCACAGGAAAAAACGTCCTAACCACGTACAACAAAAAGCAGCTGAAGGCACTCGTGGATATGCACAAAAGCGCAGCCGACATTCTTCACGAAGACGAAGCGAAGATCGTCGTCAGCGCTCTGGAATTGTCCCAATACAAAGTCATGCACATCATGACGGACATCGATTACGTCTTCGGGATAGACTATAATAGCTGTATTAATTACGAAACTATTAAACGGATTCTAAAGAGTGGATTCTCAAGAATACCAGTCCTGAATAGATGCAACTCAGAATGTGTTGTCGGCCTCATCCACATCAAGGATCTCATAAACATATGGTTTGGCATAAATAAAATAATCTTCGACAACAACTCATTGGTGCAATGTAGAAAGAGGAGAGACACCACCAAACATAAGTATTACAAGAAGAGATCCAGAACGGGGATCTTTCACTTAATTAAGATGAAATCAGAGAAGATTAGAATCGCTAATAAAATTTATGCTTACGATGGGTCTAAGATTCTTGGTCGTTGCGCTGGCTCCAGTAAGGAAGGCCAGTCAGACAAGTGTATCGACGTACCACATCGCTCTAGCCAGTCTTCCACCACTTGGAGCAATCAGAAAAGGAAAATACCCGCGTGGATACATTCCGCCGGCGCACATCTCGACGGCGAGAAGCGAAAAGGATACGACACCGACACAGCAGAGGATGAAAATGACTGGGACAGCACCCTGGGAAAGGAAAACGGCGCGGGTGGTGCAGACGATGGGGAGGATGAGGCCGAGGAAGAGGAGGCACAAGACGGAGTGGAAATCCTCGATCTTAAGGGCAGCGACGATGAGCACCTCAGCACGGACAGCGAAATGGAGCCTCCCCAGGAGGCCTCCAACCCGGACGAGGTGAAGATAAACATCGACCAGCGCCCCCACCGGAGGGGAGCCAAGCAGAAGAAGCGGACGGACGTGAACAGAGACCAAGGTGGAGGTTCCACTTCAAATTCGGACACGGAAAAAAAAAGGAAGAAAAAAGTTCAGATCAACGTGGAGGGGGGTAAAGAGGAGCAGCGCGCCGGCTACAACAACTATTACGAGGGGAGAAGCGGCCAAGCACAGCAACAGAGGGGTGAACGGGGCAATCCGGGCACTCGCGACGAACCAGGTAATTCGGGCCAACGGGACCAGATCGTGAACCCCTCGAAGCTCCGAGAGCAAAAGAAGAAAAAAGTGAAAAAGATCTATAAAAATCCGTACAGACACAAAAACAGGAACGTAAACTTCGTCGAATTCCTGTCCGACCAAATGATGTTAAGCGGAGAGGACGAGCAGGAATCCTGCTCTCCCCCCGAAGAGGTTGTATTCACCGACATTCAAAAAAGAATAAGGTACTATAGCAGAATGAATAAGGGAGGAGGAACAGGAAGAGGAGGAGGAAGAGAAAGAGAAAGACGAGGTCGAGATGGCAACGGTGCCGTTACGAAAACTCTGCAGGGTAAGCCTCGCTCAGGGAAGAGCAGACGAATGCAGAGTGGGAACAGCGGACATAGCATCCCGAGCGGAAAGGGAGCACCCCCCAGTGGAGCTACCACCCAGAGGGGCGTACAAAATGGGAAGACCCCTCCGAGCGGGAACACACACAAAGCAAACGATGCAAATGATACAAACGATGCAGACGATCCAAACGAATCAGGCAGACGCGGCAGAGGCAGCGCTGCGCGTAGCAGCATCAGCGACATCGCCTCAAACCACGGAAGAAACAGATACATCTCGCAAAGTATCATGTTAAAAGAAAACCTCAATAAAGAAAAAAACATGAAACACATCTTTCTGGACATAAAAAATTACATCCGAATTTCCCGAAACAAGGACATTGAGATCCCAGTCAAGTACATCTTAAAACACATCGGCCGATATATATACGGGGTCGACTACAACGAGAGCATCCTTTCTCTTCTGAGTTTTTTTAAAAGTGCCAGCAACCACATTGTGGTGGTCAGGAAAGTCATCTACGATGAGAATGCGGATCCCAACTATGCCCACATTGGCATTATCACCCTGGAAGACGTCATCGAGATTTTGCTGCAGGAGGAGATAACGGATGAGTTTGACTTCCGCAGTGTTAAGAAGGGCACCGACATACCCTCCAACTTCGTCTGGAAAAACTCCGACGAGTCGCTCAGCAGGGGGGGGCACCTGGACGAAGCAGTCCAAAGTGAATCGCTTCAAGGTGAGCCATCCGAAGGCGACTCTCTTCCAAACCAGTCGCTTTCGTCTATTTCACCGCTTTCAGCGCCACACTCAGCGCCCCCTTCCCAGCGCGCGAGGCCCACCAGGAAGCACATTCTCATGCCCAACTGCAAACGGGAACTCATCAGCTTCCTAAAGGAGAGCGTCTATTTCAAATATATCGACACACAGCTAATCAGGAAGTGTATCCAAAGGAAGAAAATAAAAACAACTCAGAAAAATGAATACTTACTCAAGGAAAACACCTTTTTAAACTACGCAATCATCCTAATGAAGGGGCGTGTGAGAAATATAAAAAACGGAAGCAGCAACGTCCAGGAGGACAAGTGCATCATTGCGCTGGAGGCCCTTGGCCCATGCAACATCATCGAACTGTTTAATAGTACCATCAAGAAGAGAATCAACGTTCTCAAAAAAAAAAAAAAAAAAAAAAAAAAAATTGCCTATTATTTAAAGGTTCGGACAGCAAGAAGGACTCCCTGCGTCCCAATTGGCCCTCGCTCTGTAGGGACAGGAGCGACCACCGAAGAATGGAACACGGCGGTATGGGCAGCACCATGGGAAGCGGTCTGCCGAGTCACCCCTCCAGCGGACTCCATAGTGGCCTCACCAAAACCAACTCCCATGTCATTCACAAAAACATCAACATTTTATTTAAGAAGTGGTACACCCAGCACGTGTACTATAACAAGAGTGCTTGCATCGCAGGTGAGTCCACAGGGATGTCTCGCGCGCTTTCCCGCCCATGCGTGCAACATGCCACCGGTCAACCGATCAAACGCTAAACCTTCGAAACTCCTTTCCCCCCGCAGAAACCCCCTGCGAGTACATCATTCTGTCCAAGAACGAATACATGGATATGATAATCGGTAAGTACCTCACCGCGTCCAAAGGAGCGCGTTGCTCTGCCGCACCACAAGGGGAGGGAAGTCTATACTCACCATTTTTTCTTCTTTTCTTTTTTTTTTTTTTCTCCCTCCTGCAGAATGCTACAGCAACAACAAGGTGGACGAAATTATTGAGGACAACTGATGTGGTTTTTTTTTTTTTTTGTGCACATGTGTGTGTGTGTGGTTGGGTGGGTATACCCCTCTGCTAACCTTTGATGAGGTCCTTCCGTCATTTCTTTCTTCTTTCTTTCTGTTTTATTTCTGTTTTCTTTCTTTTGTTTTCTTTTTTTTCCCCCACATTTCAACATTTGTTCAGTATCCCTGTTCCATTTTTTTTCTTTTTTTTTATTTTGTATGTTTCGTATGAAGACGTCATAATTTTAAGGATGTTAAAAGGAATTGAGACTAAGCATGCAGGCGGAGACGCCAGACACAGAGGTGGGACAGGCAGGAGGGACATACAGGGGGGACGCACACTGGCATGAACTAATCTGAACTGTGTCCAAGTGATGCGCGTGCAACTTGGGCGGAAAGGGGGGCACTCAAAGGAGGAGTGGGCCTCTCCCCCAAAAAAGGGACATGTATGCATGGGTTTACTGCCGATGTGTGCACAGCGGTGACTTTAGGGGTCAGCTCAGCCATGTTCCAACGGTGTTGTCACTGTAACGGTTATGTAACCGTGCGGCTGCTTTGCGCTATGCGCCTCGGTAGAGCCGTCCGCTGCGCTCTATATAGTCTCCTCCGATAGTTGTTCTTCCTCTTCGTTCACGTTACACGTGTTGGCGCAAAAGTAGGACGAGAATAGCAACGTCGAGGCGATCACGGTCGAACTGATCACCGCCAAGGACAGTCCGACTGCCCCAACGCCCATGCCTGCGAAGGGAAGGAAGAAAGAGGATGTGAGAGAGGAACTAAACGAATGAGAGAGAGAAGGGCAAAGGGGCAAACACAGACAAGGCAGCCACGAATAAAAGGGGCGCTAGCGAAACTCCTTCGAACGAGCCGATGCTGAACGGAGGGCAGCAATTAGAACATGCACAGCCACGGGCAACTCTTATGAGTTCGAGGGCAGAGAGTGAGGGCTGGCCTCCGAGAAGAAACACATTCAGGTGTGCGAGGCACCCCCGGGAAAAAGGGACAGAGCAACCACAATCGTCAAATCAACACATGTCACGTGTTCCCCAAATGGTTCTTTCTCAACGCGTCAGAAAAAGACTCCAAGATTTACCTGCGCCGTAAATAATGTTGTCGACAATTCCGTAATCTGCGGGGAAAAAAAAAAAAAAAAGTCCAATTTTGTAACTAGCCAATGAGGAGAATGAGCTCGCGTCTGTCTATGAGCCTGTCGATGGAGCACAACATCGTTGCCATTCTTTTTCCATTCTGTTCGCTCCCTTTTTCCTATCCCTTTTTTTTTTTTTCCACTTTTTTGCTAATTCAGTTTACCTTTTTTTTCGAAGCTCTTGCTTTCGTTGAATTCATCGCCCTGCGAAAAGGAGGTGCGCACGTGGGCGGCAAATGAATGAGGGTGAATTGGCCGCCAAATGAGTGACCGTGGATTCGACGCCAACAATTAACCACACTCCACATGGGTGTGAAACGAAAAGGAAAGCGAGCCTGGTGGAGTACACCCCGAAGGAACTATCCGATGTAGACGACCCCACATGCCGCCTTTCTACACACTCAAATCTGCACATAGAGGGGGATTCTCCCCCGGTCAAAGCTTTCTCTCGATTGAAGATTCCTCACTGTTGATTTCTCCGTGGTGAAGGTGCTCTCACCCTTGTCTCTGTTATCAGGAAAAGAACAAGTAGGGGAAATTTAAGCAACGTCGCTGCCGCTTCTGCTGCCGCTAATGCTGCTGCTTGTTGTGTATACGAGCGCATCCCCCGTAAGTGCAAACAAACGCACCCCCTGCGCTGGTGTGTTGGGAGTTCCACTGCCCAAGGGCGCGGCGCAATTCTTCAGGGCCATTTCCCCTCTCCCTTTGAGGAAACTCACCCGGAGGGTATCCTTCGGAAGTGACCATTGTAAATTTTTTTTAACGTCATTCTGGCTAACTGCTGGGGGAGCGGAAAAGGGCAAAGACGAAGAGGGCGAAGCGGAAAAGGGCAAAGACGAAGAGGGCGAAGTGGAAAAGTGTAAAGGCGCAAAAATGCAGAAGCGCAACGTTATGGAGAATTAAAAAAGATGAAACAGAAAAATGGAAATTAAAATGGGCAAATGTGCAAATGTCCGTGGTGTATTTTTTTTTTTTTATATGCAAAATGTGTGAGACGGTCTACAAAGGCGCGACAAAAAGGGGAGCGAACGAAAAGGGGAGTAATAAAGGGAGTGGGAGGACATCCAAAAAAATTAAAGCAATTTTGCGTCAGTTTTTCGGCGCATTTACGCGGGAGTCCAACGCGGTTCCCGCGCAAACTCCAAAAAAAAATTTGGACCAGCGTGACGGCGCAGTGGGGTGAACCATTACCAACGTTGTGGAATCACACCTGCAGAAATTCCTTTTTTTTTTTTTTTTTTTTTAAACACATGTCAACCATTGTGCGAAGCTTCATGTTACGTACCATGTGAACATTTCCCCGTTTTTGGAAACAATTAACAGCACAGCCGGGGGCACCCCCTTCCCCAGCAGCAAAACCTCCCCCGATCCACTGCCATCCGTTTTGTTTACCAAATTGGACTCTAACCTTTTCCACATTTTTATGAACAGGGAGTGGCGGAAATTTACCCACCTTTTAGCCACACTATGGAATGTCACATGGAATTTCACATGGAACGTCACATGGAAAAATTTTCTTTTTTTCTCAACGGACTCACATGTGACAACCAAGTTGCGCGGAACGGCATGGCCGCTCATCCGCGGGATAGCCTCCCCCCGATACGTGCAATTCTCGCCAGAGTGTAAACTGTGAAACTGCGCAGGAACGGCAAAAAAAAAAATGAGCACCAAGGGAAACGTGCAAAAATATATTTCTCCCGCAAATCGAAAGATGCTTGTGTATCCCACAATTTGAAGAAGGCAAAAGAAAATAGTGCCATTTCGGACGCGTCCATCCACACCTGCCAATAAAGTTTACACCATAGAAGAAACATGTATGTGTTTACACAGATTCGCCGCACTCCGGTGGTGACGGCCGAGCTGCTTTCCTGTCTATGTTTCCCAAAAGAGGGAAATTCCTTCCCTCCGCGCGAAAAAGAGGTTACAGTTTTGAAATTCTTCTCCAATGCTGATTTCAGTTCCACCGTTGGTTAATCCGGGTTTGTCCCGCTGCACCTGGAAGGTTTGCCAAAAAGGAAAAAAGCGAAAAGGCAAAAAAGCAATCCCTAAATTGTAACATATAACTGATGCAACTAGGAGGAAGCGAAATCTTCAAGTGGGAAAATTTCCCTGGGATGCCATACCAAGACATATAACAATGCACAAAAAAAAAAAAAAAAAAAAAAAAATTCGGGCAGCGGTATTTCCATCCCCAGGAACGTAAAAATGATTATCCATCCGCATACGTTCCCCGCAGTCACAGCAATTTTAAATGTCAATCGATCATTTGCAATGTGGCGTTGTCTGGTCCATATGCTCAGTTATTCCCCCCCAAAACGACCCCATTTGCATACCTTTCCCACAAACGGAAACCAACACAGGTGTGCGCCCATCGAAAGGAGTTCTAACCTGCACAGTTTAGGCCCAACAAGTTCGCCCCATAGACACATTTTCATCCTCTCAACGCTGTCACAAAAAAAAAGAAAAATAAAATAATAATAAAATAAAAACAGAATGGAAACCCTGCTAGACAGCGAAACGTTAAAGAATTACGAAAAGGAAACGAACGAATACATTCGCAAAAAAAAAGTGGAGAAACTGTTCGATGTTATTTTAAAAAATGTCCTGGTAAACAAACCGGAAAATGTGTACCTGTACATATACAATAACATTTATTCCTTCCTTTTGAACAAAATTTTTGTTATCGGCCCTCCTTTGTTGAAAATTACTCCCACCTTATGTTCGGCGATTGCCAGCTGCTTTAGCTACTACCATCTCAGCGCCTCGCACATGATCGAGTCTTACACGTCTGGTGAAGTAGCTGAAGCTGCAGAGAGTTCGACAAGCAAAAAGTTAGGTACGCGACGAGGGGGGTGTCTGTGGGGGGGAACGAACAGGCACATACACATGTGCGCGTCTTAGCAGATAAACTCAGGATGAATATAAACACAACTGCTACGCGAAAACAAACATGAGTCACTATCTTTTCTTTTTTTTTCACCCCTATTTGGATGTACCTCAACTAGTAGCTTTCTTACAACATGCATGACTGTGCATAACTTTTTTTAACATTTTATTAATAGAAAAAAAAAAATAGCTAACTGGAGTACCACTTTTCGCTAGCCGTTTTTTTTTTTTTTTTTTAACAAATAATCCACACCACAATTACCCCCATTTTGCACCTCCCTCTTTTCCCAGTCAGTGACGACTTAATCTGCTCCATCGTTAAAAGCAATATAAACCAGCTGAACGCGAAGCACAAGCGGGGGTACGTGGTTGAAGGGTTCCCCGGAACCAATCTTCAGGCAGACAGTTGCCTACGGCATTTGCCGTCCTACGTTTTTGTCCTCTACGCCGACGAAGAGTACATTTATGAGAAGTACGAACAAGAGAACAACGTAAAAATCTGTTCTGACATGAACATCCAAACGTATGATGAAAATACACAGCTGTTCGAAGTGGCCGACTTCAACACGAATCCGCTGAAGGATGAGGTAAAGGTCTACTTAAGGTGAGACGTCCAATTGTGGCACTGCTGTTGGTGGAATGGCCTCCGTTCAGGCTAAAGAGTAGCCGTTAGTGTCCATCCCAACCTGCATTTTTTACCCCCACAACGGGTGAAGCCAACACACACATAAGTGGCTCACCACACGGGAAAACTTTCACCGTGCACACTTTTTACTGACACCCCACCACTACAACTTCACACCTACACAGGAACATCTCAGGGGTGATGACCGTTCTCGGTGGGCGTAAGGAGGTGCTAAACTTGCGCGACTACGACGAAAATGGCTTAATCGAGCACGTAATGGTATGCTACATGAGCTGTGTCCTTCCCCTTTGCCGCTAACCCATTTGCGCACACTTCGCACCTTCTTTTGCCTGACCACGTGTTGCTCACCATTTAACCGTTTTCACCACTTCTCCAATTTTGACACTTTTTCACATTCACTTTTTAAGAATACGATTGGCCAGACGAAGGATGAGTGGAACTGTGTGTTTGACGATTATGCAGTGGATTGAGCTTCCGTTACGCGTTCCGCCCGCCTGGGTGTGTGTTTGTAGATGAAGTTGGCTTTGTTGCCGTTGATGATACCCCTGTTTCCCTTGTTGCCTTTTCCCTCCGCTGAATAATACATCACTCCCATTGGGGGCAGGCCTTACCCACCCCTTCAACTACGTAAAACGTCGGAACATGAAGTAGAAAATGGGCGGTTATCGATTATACCTTTCGTTATCCCCCTGTGCAAATACAGAACAAAACCAAAGGCGCAGTTGCTGGAATGGCAAAATTGTCCCTTACGAATCGAAGAGTTACTTTCTTACCTAAATAGCGGCGCCACTGCGCGCAACGGAGTCTCAGTGGGTACATGTACCTGTGCATACTCTCCATGTGCAGCCCTACATACGCGCGGATGTTATGTGCGGGTTTGAAAATTGGAGGCGATTTGTTTACACCCAAGTATCTCGCAGTGAAATGCAGCACTTGGCGGGTTATGCGAAGAAAAAAAAAAGATAAAAATAAAGTTAAGATAAAATGAAATAAAATAAACATAAAATAAAAATAAAATAAAAATAAAATAAAAATAAAATAACCTTGTGCATACAAATTTGTGCCTTTCCGGCCTTTCTTGCCTTTTTTGCTTGTTTTTTTTTCCTTCACCCTCGATCCATGCTCAACAGAAACTAGAAACACTACAAAACGTCACATTTTGTTATAGCAAGACAGTTGGCAAAGATGTACCACCTTTTTTTGCCAGTTCTTGTAACACGAAAGTAGCAAACGAAATTAAATTATGCGTGAGAAGGACCCCACCGGGTGAAGATTTCTCTAGGGCGCTTTCACCGATCGTGCCAAAATAAAAATTATGAACGGTTCATAATTTTTTTTTTTTTTTTTTTTTTTGGCTAAACAGTCAGGCATATTTCGTATCACATTGTTGGTATGCCCATGCGGTAACACGAAGAGAGCTGTGTTACTTTGATGAAAATTCCTAAGCAACCAATCTCCTACCGCAAGGCAGTTGCCATTCCCTTTATCATCCTTATACGAAAGGGGCCAAGCGGCGGAGAGTTCATTTGGCGTGCATGTGGGGGGCTTGACCTACCAGGATAAGCACTTATGTAGTGTGTTAACGTTGTGTACCTTTGACTGGCCCGGCACAGCTGTGTAGTTCTTCCCATCCCTCGCTTGGTCGCGCGTATACGCAGCTTGCACGTGTGCACAAATACGTGCATATGTAACACATTTGTGTAGAGCTTTTTATACCCCTCTTTGTACCCCTTTCTGTACCCCTTTCTGTACCCCTTTCTCCACCCAACATGCAAGTCGAAAGCATGAAGGCCGAATTGATGGGAGCCCCGCTGAGGGAAGACCCGTACGACATCAAGACGCCCATTTCGGACGGCACGACCATCATAGGAATCATTTATGAGCATGGAGTCATGCTGGCGTGTGACACCAGGACGTCCTCCGGAACATTCGTCAGCAACAAGTGCTCAAGAAAGATAAACAGGATTAACGAAAACATATATGCCTGTCGTAGTGGAGCTTCTGCACACAGTCAGAAGGTAATCGAACTCATAAAGTATTTCTGCTTATCGATGAAGTGTGAAAATAGAAAGAAAGGAAGGTTTCACGAGGACGAAGTTATTACGGATGACCTCTCAAATGAGGAAGACATCGACCTCAGTGCAATTAATAACCCATTCGGTTTACCACAGAACGGGGATCCCAATTATGTCACAAAGCATAAGTACTTTTACGAAGATAAATTTATGGACTTCAATCCGCTAGTTGAAAATGTTGCCCACATGACGAAGAAGCTACTGTATGCGAACAACAATTTTCTCTCTTGTGGTCTTATCCTGGGAGGATACGACAAAGAGAAGAAGCAGCAACTGTACTCGGTTAACCTAAACGGAAGCATCGTCCAACGGTTCGACTACGCCGTTAGCGGTAGTGGCAGTGTGTACATACAGTCCTACCTGCAGGACAAGTACAGGAAGAATATGAGCAAAAAGGAGTGTTTTGATTTGATCCTGGGATGCGTCAAGTACGCAATGTACAACGACAACAGCAGCGGGGGGATCGTGCGGATCGTCAACATGACGAAGCTCTTCGTGGAGGAGTTCACCGTCACGAACACGCAGCTGCACTTTGATTACTAGGGGGGGAGTGTAAGTATTGGAAGAAGTGGAAGAAGCCGAAGAAGCGGAACGAACAGAAGTGTGCACGATTCGGCGCGAGTCAGCACAAATATGAGCGAATGTGTTGCAGACGCCCATGCGCGACACCTCCCGCGCGCGTCCACACGAAGCAGTGAACCCGAAACTTGTAGGTGCGTTTTGCACACTCGACGAACTTTTTCAAAGCCTTTTTTAAAATTGTGCCGTAAGAAGGTTTTTTTTTTTCTTCTTCATTTCTTATTGTTTGTTCAGAAAAATTCTCTGTCCAGGTGAACGGGGCCGGGGCAGCTTTTACTTCCCCCCGTTCGGGGGATTTTCGCTCGTTGACACACACACAAAGGTGACGTACAATGGGAAGCATCGAGCGAGCGGTCTCCGCGGCGAAATCCCGCAGGAGGAAAAAAAAAAGGAACAAAAAAAATTATGCACACTTGTAATTCAGAGCGCTCTTCGCGCAGCTTCGCATACGATCATCCCATCATCCGATCATCCCATCATTTTCCCCCCTTCACAAGTACGCCGCCCACAAGCGGCACGAGAAGGCTCCCACCATGTCCATATTCTCGTACATTTGCATGTCCAGGAAAGGCTGGCCTCCATTAGGGTCCACTTCACAGGTGAGCATTTCACTTTTTTGATGTTCCTCGATCAGTTTGTTTGCTTTCCTTTCCACATGTCTGTCTGCCAATCCAGGCGATGACTGCACGCTCTTGGGGGCCACTCCATTTGTTGCCACGGTAGCCACGGTAGCCTCGTCATTGACGAATTCTATCTTGCCATAATCAGAGGACATACTTTTCCCCTCCTCAAGTGAGCCTTCTCTCTTTTCCAACGCGCAATGAAAGTGTTCCTTTTGTTTTCCTTCCCCATGCTTTTTTCCTACCTCAGAAAATTGCGCCCTCTTATCCGTCACATTTATTTCTGCCGTCTCCCATGTACACTCGGACTCATCAGCGGGAAGGAGTTCCCTTTTCATATTCCTCCCATCTTGGGAGCGGTCAAAAAGTTGCTTTTCCTCGAATTGGGTTAAGACATTATGGATCCTCTCTTCTCCTAGGCTGCTCGTGTGCTGCTTCGTTTTTTCCTCCCCTGATGGGAACTCCTCATGAGGTTGCTGCCTTTCCCAGGTGTTGCACGTGGTGGCTTGCTCGCCGAACTGCACCTGGGCCAAGGCCTCGTTCGTCAAGTTGGGGCCGCCCGCCCCGTTGGGGACGTTTTCCTCATTTTCCACGTTTTCCTCATTTTCCACGTTTTCCTCATTTGCCACGTTTTCTTCATTTGCCACATTTTCCTCATTTGCCACATTTTCCTCATTTGCCACGTTTTCCTCATTTGCCAC